CTAATTCATTGAGTTGTAGAGTTAGATGATTTACTACCATTTTTTCTTGTTTGCTGAGATAGGCCTGTAGAGCTATAAACTTCCCTAAAAGGACTACTTTCATTGTGTCCCATAGGTTTTGGATTGTTGTGTTTTCATTGTCATTAATGTCCAGGATGTTTTTAATTTCTTCTTTGATGTCATTGGTAACCCAATCAATATTTAATAACATGCTATTCAGCTTCCAAGTGTTTGAGTATTTTGGGTTGTTTTTATTGTAGTTTATTTCTAACATTATGCCATCGTGGTCTGAGAAGAAGCTTTTTATGATTTCAATCTTCTTGAATTTGTGGAGACTTTGCTTGTGACCCAATATGTGGTCTATTTTTGAATATGTCCCATGAGCACCTGAGAGGAATGTATATTCCATGGCTTTGGGGTGAAGTGTTCTGACTGTTTGTGACCAATATGTGGTCTATTTTTGAAATATCCCATGAGCACTTGAGAAGAACGTATATTTTGTGGCTTTGGGGTGAAATGTTCTGAAGATGTCAATTAAGTCCATCTGATCTAGTGAGTCATTTAGGATGCTTTATCTTTGCTTATTTTTTGTTTAGAGGATTTATCCAGTGATGTCAGTGATGTATTCCAGTCCCCTACTATGATTGTATTGTTGTCAATCTCTCCTTTGATATCTTCCAGGAGTTTTTTTATGAATTTGGGTGCTCCTGCATTGGGTGCATATATGTTTACCAGGGTTATATCTTCTTGTTGTATTGATCCCTTTAGTATTATGAAGTGGCCTTCCTTATCTCTGGTTATGGCCTTCACTTTGAGATGTATTTTGTCCGATATAAGTATTGCTACCCCAGCTTTCTTTTCCTTTCCATTTGCGTGAAAGATATTTTTCCATCCCTTCACTTTCAGTCTGTGTGAGTCCCTTCTAATGAGGTGGGTCTCTTGTAGACAGCAGATGTATGGGTCATGTTTTTTTATCCATTCAGCCACTCGATGTCTTTTGGTTGGAGCATTTAGTCCGTTTACATTTAAAGTTATTATTGAAAGGTACTTGTTTGTAGCCATTTCTTTTTTTGTGTGTGGCTGTTTTCTTTCTGAGCTTGTTATTTCTTCTTTTTACACCAGTCCCTTTAGCATTTCTTGCATGGCTGGCTTGGTGGTGATAAACTCCCTTAGCCTTTTTTTGTCTGTGAAGCTTCTTATTTCCCCTTCAATTTTGAATGAAAGCCTTGCTGGATAGAGTATTCTTGGATTCAGTCCTTTGCTTTGCATCACTTTGTAGATTTCTGTCCATTCTTTTCTGGCCTGATGTGTTTCTGTTGAGAAATCATTTGATAATCTAATGGGAGATCCCTTGTATGTAACTTTCCGTCTCTCTCTTGCAGCCTGTAAGATTCTCTCTTTGTCCTGAACATTTGCCATGGTAATTATGATGTGTCTTGGTGTGGGTCTTTTCGGATTCACCTTGTTTGGGACTCTCTGGGCTTGTGTGACTTTTTTCTTCCCCACCTCAGGGAAGTTTTCTGATATTATTTCTTCGAATAGGTTTTCTAATCCATGTTCATCTTTCTGTTGTTCTGGCACCCCTATTATTCGTATGTTGTTTCGTTTCATGTTGTCCCAAAGCTCCCTTAGGCTCTCCTCCTGTCTTTTAATTTTTTTCTCCATTTGCAGTATAGTTTGGGTGTGTTTTGCTTCCTTGTCTTCTAATTCACTAATTCGGTCCTCCGCTTCTCCTAGTCTACTGTTGATACTTTCAATGGAGTTTTTTATGGCAGCTATATCACTCTTCATTTCTTCTTGGGCCTTACTTAAGTTGTTGATTTTTTCATCTGTTTCTTCTAGCTGATTTTTTCTTCCATCCTGTTTATGCATTCTAGGACCCTTAATCTGAATTCTTTTTCTGTCATGCTGCATGCCTCGGTTTCACTTAGCTACCTTTCTGGCGAGTCCTCCTTTTCTTACCTTTGGTTTATTTTTTGTCTACCCATGTTTGATCCTACTGACATATCTAGATGTTGAGTCATTCAGGGGCTGCTTCTTGGGTGGCAGTGGCTCCTGCGGCTTTGGTTGCTCCTCTGGCAGTTGTTGTAGCAGCTGCTCCTCAGTTGGCAGGAGCTCCTGTGGTGGGTGCTCTTCACCTCTGTGGTGGCTCCTCTGGTTGGTGGGGGGAGGCTTCACTCACAGATGCTGTTCTTCAGACAGAGGATGTGCTGATCTCGAGGCTGCTGTTCTTTGGATGGGGGCGTGCTACACATGCAGTTGCTACTCCTTAAACTGGGGTGAACTGCTCACTTGGCTGCTGATCCTTGAATGGAGGCTGGCTGCACGCTGCTGTTGTTCCTCTGATGTGGTGGGCTGCTTGTGGGGCTACTGCTCCTAGGACCAGCTACTGCTCATTTGACAGGTGCAGGCTGTTGTGACTCTGCTCCTTAGACCTGGTGTGTGCTGCGTAGAGCTGCCACTCCTTGGATGTGGGCGGTCTGCTCGTGTGGTTGCTGCTCCTCAGACCGGGGTGGGCTGCCTCTGCTCCTCGAATGGGGCCGGGCCTCTCGCAGAACTGATGCTCCTCAGATGGGGGCAAGCTGCTCACACAGCTGTTGTTCCTCGGGTTGGGCAGGCTGCTTGTGTGGCTGTTGCTGCTTGGGTGAGGGCAAGATGCTTGTGCAGCTGCTGCTCCTCGGATTAGTGCAGGGTGCATGCTGTGCGCAGCTGCTGCTTCTCGGATGGGGGCGGGCTGCACAAGTCTGTCTCTCCTCAGATGTAGGAAGACTTTTCATGCGGCTGCTGCTCCTCGGACAGGTCGTACTGCTCTCGTGGTTGCTGCTATTCAGACGGGGAAGCGGGCTGCTCACACAGCTGCTCCTCCTTGGACAGGCTCCCCTTCCTTTTTACAGCAGCGTAGTATTCCATGGTGCAAATGTACTACATCTTCATCTACTCATCTACTGATGGGCACTTGGTATGCTTTTTATCTGTACCTGTAGAGTGTATGCATATATATAGTTACAAACATATGTGTTATACTTTATATAGATTTACTACACATAATATGTAAATGATTATAGATTCATCATTTTAGTTTTGTACTTATGAAAATCAAAAATAGTGCCCTGGACAGTGTTGCTCAGTTGGTTGGAGTGTTGTCTGGTATCCTTCCTATACACTGAAAGGGCACAGGGTCATTCCAGCTCAGGACACATATCTAGGTTGTGGGTTCGATCCCTGGTAGGGGTCCCTGGTCGGGGTACCTATAGGAGGGAACCAATCAGTGCCTCTCTCTCACATCACTGTTTCTCTCTCTCATTCTCCCCTTTCCCTTCCTTTCTCTCTATAGTCAATTAAAAACATATTTTTTAAGTTAAATAATTTCCTTTTGTCTTGTTTTTGACAGTATGACAGATGTGTCCCATGTGTTCCATTTTTGTCTCCCCTCAACCCAGCCTCCACCCCACCACAGGCCTTTCCCATACTATTGTCTGTTTCCATGGGTTTGCATACATGTGCATATGTTCTTTGGTTAATCTCTTCCTGTTCCCCCATCCCACCCTGAGATCGGTTACTTTGTTCCATGCATTCATACCTACAGAAATATTTTGATCATTAGTTTATTTTGTTCATTAGAGTCCACACATAAGTGAGATAATGTGATATTTGTCTTTCTATAACTGGCTTATTTCTTTTAAAAAATGGAAAATATAAATGATTATTCCTATTCCAGAAGTATCATTTTAACTTATAAGAGTTTTCTTTGAAAATATTGAATTCTCCAACTATGTTTATCCATTCTTCCAATCTATTCATACATGAAATATAACCCAAATACCTATTATGTAGCAGACATATTCTACTCAGGATCTTTCAATCTATCTCCCAGACCAGTTTTTCATCCTTAAAATCTTCATGTTGCCAAATATGAGCAAAATGAGAAATTAAAAATTGAAGAAGTAGAACCAATCAGAGTTGAAGTTTTTTCTTCCTGCTTTCAAACAAAAGGATTTCTGAAGGTAGGACATTATAAAAGATAACCTTTACCTGCCCTTTTGTAAATGTGTAATAGTATTAAATAATATTGATCATTGGGAACGTCTGATTTCCATATAATTTATAAATCTAAATATTGTACAAAATGAGTCTTCCTATTCATTTGAAACCTGACTTTCTTTTGGATTAAGTTTTCTTGAAAATCAAAAAAAGAATTACTTTTAAAAAATCCCTTTTTTTTCCTCTTTCTCCCATTAGGCTTTAAGAACTAAAATTTATTTAAATGCCAACCATTGGTTAGAACTGCAAGAGTTCTGTTGTACTCACCATTATTTCACTTAATGTAAGGCACCATGGATGGAATGATGCCAGTATTTTATGTATAACTAAAATTTTTTAAATGCTTCAAATAATAGTTGTAACACATTCTGAATTAAAAATTGTATTCTACTGTCAGAGATGTTGAAGTGTGAGAAGATAAGCATTTTAGAATCATTGAAATACTATGTTCTTTCTCATCCTTAAACAGGTCTGCAAGAATAGTGATATTTTATTTAATTGAAATGTCTTTATAAAGTGGTAGTAATAATGATACTAATATTATCTAACAATTATTGAGCTTTTGTGTGTGTGTGCTAGGGGCTACAGTAAACACTTTGCATAGATTCTCATTTAGGAAAACAGTGGTGTCCTGGGAGATAATTATTATTTTTATCTCCATTTTGTCGATGAGGAAATTGATGCCAAGTGATAGCTAATAAGTGATAGTTAAAATAGGATCAGACCCAAGTTGAGCTGAATTCCCAGGTCATTCTCTCTCTATTCAAATAGGCTGCTCCTTCATTAATGTGGTGAGAAACAAGAACTAATAAATATTGTACTCTTTCCCGAAGAAAACAACATATTTGTTTGAAGTCATAGGGATAAATGTTTACAATTACACGGATAAGTTATGTTTTGAGATAGTGTCCTCTAATTTCTTAATGAGTCCTCTGACTCATAGGACAGCTCTCCATGTGGCCTGTGCCTATGGCCATCCAAGGATGGTGAAATTCCTAATAGAGAGACCATGCCTGTTGAACCTCCGTGACAGTGAGAAAAAGACAGCTCTGATTCATGTATGTACTTGCCAACTATGAGTTGGGTTTGATTTAATTACTTAGAATACAAATGAATTCATTTCATTTAGTTGAAAGTCATTGGTGAAACTTGTGGAATGTTTCCTTTGAATTCCTAGAATTTATAATCTATTTCTTGGCATAATACTTACAGGCCCTACAATACCAGAATATGGAATGTGCAAATGTGCTGCTAGATTATGGTCCCGATCCAAATATAATGGACAACGATGGCAACACTGCTCTGCACTATGCTGTCCTTAGTCACAATAAAGCTATAGTGGAAAAGCTGCTTGTGCACAAGGCAAATACTGAAGTGAGAAACAAGGTATAGCTCAAGTATTATTTATAAAATATAATAAACACATGTTTTTAATTTAGTTACAAGCATTAAAAAATGTTTGTATTGAGAGAGGAAGAGGGAGAAGTATCAATGATGAGAATCATCCATTGGCTGCCTCCTATATATCCCCTACTGAAGATTGAGCCCATAAATCCAGCATGTGCCCTGACCTCTCATCAACCATGTCCTCTAGGTTCATGGGTCTGCACTCAAACACTGAGCCACACCAGCTGGGCACAAACACTTTCTTTCTCACATACATATACTGAATATAATATATCAGGCCCTGTCACCATGGAAACAACTCCAAAGCCCAGTCAGGGGGCTGGGGAAATGTAGTGTCCACGGTAGGGGAGTAGGAGGCAAAGCTCTGTCTCCCTTCCACCCCAGAAGGAAGAACTTCCTGTTAGTGCCTAGGAGTGGGAGAGGGGCTCAGAGCCCACTAAGGATGAAGGCCTGGGGGAGTGAAGTGATGCTGGGGCCTGGCTGCTGTGCTGGCAGGGGCTTAGGAAATGGTGCTGCTGGGGATGGGTGGGAGGAGGAGGCCTAGTACCCAGCAAGGGGAGCTGGGTGAGTGCAAGAGGGAAGAGGAAGCCCCAGTCCACAGGCAACAAAATAACAACAGGATACCACGATAGGAACACAGATTCTGGGAACCCGTACTGTAAATGTTGGAAGTGAGATTTGGAGAAGGATGCTGCAGTTAATCTGTTGAAGAGGCAGTGGAGGGCATTTTAAAGGGAAGAACAGCCAGTGACTGCACAGGGGTGAGAAGATAGAGGATCCTTTTTTGAAAACCCTCACCAGAGGATAGTTTTCCCCATTGATTTTAGAGAGAGTGGAGTGAGGGAATAGATGAGAAAAAGAGAGAAAGAAACATCTCTGAGACACATGGAATGGATGCCCCCCCCCATGGGCCCCCTCTGGGTCTGGGGATCCAACCTGCAACCCAGGGACTTGCCTTTGAATGGGAATCTAACTCCAAACCCTTCCATGTGCAAGCTGACACTCCAGCCATTGTGTAACTCTGGCCAGGGCAAAAGGGGCTACTTTTGATTTACTTTCTATATTATATGTGTAACTTCAGAGTATTGTTCGTAATTTTTAATATTCAATTTGGATATATATAATCTTAAATTATAAATTGTTTTTGATGCTTTACAGAGTGACCTCACACCACTTGAACTTGCTAAACTTGCAAACAATGATGATATGGTGGAATTATTAGAAACCAGAGCTGCAAAAGACGATCAGAGGAAAAGGTACAATAGTTTGTTCTTTCTAAAATTTTATTTGGAGAGTACATTTATTGAAGCTGGGGACAGTGAAACAGGAAGAGCTTCAGATAGAAGAAGTGAGTATCAGTTGGAACCGTGCTAAGCTGCCAGAGAGATTCAAATAAGGTTGCAGAAGACCAGACGCTCCATTCTCCTGTGTTACCAGATCTGTACTCCAAGGCCATTCTCTATCTTGTGGAGCATCTTTGTTTAGGCAGTGGAAGTTAACATAAGACCTTTCCAGAATAGTGAGCACCAGCTTGCCTGAGGTTTCATAATTGAGGTTGTCCACTCAAGTGATCTCTTTGCCATAACAATGAAACTTTACCTCAGGTTTCAAAATTTAAATTATGCCTCACATGGAAGCCAGTCAACAGAAAGCTCTGAACCAAAAGTAAGTTATTGGTCCTTAAAATTGCTAAGGGCCCATCCATGACTCATCAGTATCCATGGGTGACCAGTAGGATTGCATCTTCCAAGCCAATTGGGGTAGACAGGGAGATTAAGCATCATTCTCATAAAGATCTGCTGATTCACAGTGCGAGTAGGTAGAGAAGGGGTAGTAGGAGTCTAGGCCAGGTCCTGGCTTTTATGAGTTTTCTGAAGTTGGCATGATTCAATACAAAAAGTAGGGAGCATGGTGCTATCTGACTGCATGAGGTAATATATTTGTACATGCATTTAGTTGCCAGTTACATAATAGCTGATATGCCCTGAATTATAAACCACAATGTAATTACAGGTAATAAACCAAAATTAATAACATTTTCTGAAAACTGAAACATTTGAATATTAGAAACCATGAACATTTCACATTGGAATTTATTTGGGATTCAAAAATAGTTTCAACAAATAAAGTTTATTTTTTTTCTTTGCTGTACTGTTTTTCTGAACATGTACTTTTGCTATATAATCTCGTTTAATCCTCCTAACAAACTTCTGAAATAAGGTGGAAAGATTCTTCTTTTGTAGAGGAGGACCTTGAGCCACAGAAAAGTGACTTGTTTGAGAAGAAATAGCTGTGGGTTATAGAACTAGGATGTGTGAGTTCAAGACATTTGTGATAATGTCAAACCAACTCGAATTAATTCACTGCACTATACTGTCCTCAAATCATGACTTGTTATAACTTTTTAAAAAATTACATACTTCACAAAACAGTTGTATAACTCACAAATTTAAAGTAGATGGTATAAATAAAGTTTTGATATTAGTGCTGATATCTGAAATATTCTAACAATTTACAGTATTTGTAAACTATTTTTATGTTAATATAAGAGAGTAATATTATTTATCACCCTTTTTTTGTACACAGCAAGCAACAACAACTAACTTCTGAAGAAAAGGGACCCCAAAAATCTGAAAGTCACACTGCTGGTGAGATTTCTGATAGTGAATTTCCCTTGGTGGTCTACCATAGATAAAGCAAGAGTAGGGAAGTTTTGATAATGAAAGAGCAGGGAAAAAATACCAAACAATGTGGAAGTTTCATGTATAGTTTTTCTTAATCTCTTAATAGCATAGTATTTAGTATGATTAACAAAGTTAATTGTAGGTAATTTAAAATCTAGTGCAATATCCTTTGAAAAGAAGTTCATTTATTTAGTCCTGACCTCTAAAATCCCACATGAGATCTTTATGTAAAAGAGAAAAAATATTTTAAGTTATGATGGTGTATGTTTCCTCTATATTCACAATAACAAATTGGACTTATTCTATAATGGATCTTTAGTTTTAACTGGGAATGGATTACATTTAGTAAATGAATACTTGTTATTACGTAGTGATTTGTCTCACTGAAAAAGTGAATAAACTAGGAACTCAACAAACCTTTCTTGGTAGCAAAAAGAAATGGCAAATGATAAGAGCTACAACACTTAGCCAGTGTGCAAGTATCCCAATGAGATTGTTTTTATTTAAAGATATCTAAACATAGTACTGAAGACAGAAAGGCAATGCCTGTTGAGAAGCATAGCGTACCAGTATTTTTTATATTATACCACAAAGGTCTCTCTATTATCAACTTCATTCCTCAGAAGTCAAAACAAAGGGAGATATGTTAGCTTCATTAATTTGATAATTATCAGGACAGTTGGATTTCTTTAGAACAAGATGCTCTATTGCCATTGGTCAAAAGATAATGATAAGAAATATTCAAATAGCTCAACCTGGGACTCATTAAATTATAATAAATGTACAAAAATGTTTCGCAACAACAAAAATGCCAGATGTGGCACCTAGTTCATTGTATAATCTGGACTGTATGAGGACACCTTGGACTTAGTACACCTTTATCAAAGGACTTGTGTAGTTTGCTTTTGCAAGTGAAAGGAAACACAAAGATGAAATAGTGTTTTGATCTTGAAGATGTTCATAATATGGGAGAGGTGTCCCTGGTTTATTTCTCTGTCGTGCTAAACAGAATTTTCAAAGAAAATGTCAAAATTCAGTTATTCATTTTTCAGCTGAATGGTCTGCTGTTTAACTTTCAGGTGTCTTTCAGGTACTAAGTGTTATTCTCATGTTGCAGAATTGAAACATTTTAAAAACAGTCGTTGCCCTGTAAGAGCTTGTTAGTATCATTGTCATTTCTATTATTTACTACTAGAGGTCCGGTCACGAAATTCGTGGATGGAGGCGGGTGTTCCCTCAGCCCAGCCTGCGCCCTCTCCAATTGGGGACCCTTGGGGGATGTCTGACTGCCAGGATCGGGCCTAAACTGGCAGTCGGACATCCCTCTCGCAATCTGGGACTGCTGGCTCCTAACTGCTCACCAGCCTGCCTGCCTGATCGCCCTAACTGCCTCTGTCTGCTAGCCTGATCACCCCTAACAGCCCTCCTCTCCCGGCCTGGTTGCCTCCAACTGCCTTCCCCTGCCGGCCTGATCTTGCCCCCAATTGCCCTCCCATGCAGGCCTGATCTCGCCTCCAACTGCCCTTCACTGCTGGCCAACTTGGTACTGAGTAGTTGCTTTCTATGCCAGTCAGCATCAAAAGCTCCGCCTGCTAGGCAGCCATTGACCCCCACAGCACCCAGATTTGGTTTTGATTGGTTGGTTTCAATGCAAATCAGCCTCAAAAGCTCCACCTCCTAGGCAGCCACTGGCTCCCCACTGCACCCAGATTTGGTTCTGATTGGTCAGTGTCTATGCCAGTCAGCATCAGAAGCTCTGCCTCTTAGGCAACCATTGGTTCTTCACTGTACCCACATTTGGTTCTGATTGGTCAGTTTCTATGCCAGTCAGCATCTCCGAGCCAATCTCTGGGCCTGATCAGAGAGGTGGGGTTGAACAGCAGCCCTTGCAGAGGCTGGGAGAGAAAGAAAGTCCTGGCTGCTGGCAAAGCCTAGAAAGAAAGAGGGAGAGAAAGAGAAAGTCAAGTACTGATCAACAGCTGCCACTGAGGCTGCGGATCAGACCCTACATCTCTTTTTGGGTCTCAGTTCCTTGGGCAGTCAGTGCTGGGTTGCCAGGCTGTAGTGTGGCAGTCAGTGCTGGGTCACCACAGCAACCCAGCGCTGACTAAAGGACTTCTGGGTTGGTCAGCATTCAGTAGTGATCTGTCATTACAACCCTGGACTTTTATATATTAGCATACTTTATTTAGTGCTTACTAGGTGTAAGAGCTCATTAGCATCTTATAATTATCCCTGTCTCATCTAATAAAGAGAGAATATGCTAATTGACCCTCATGCTGTTGCAAAGATGGTGGCGCCCACAGCCAATAGGAGGGAATATGCTAATTGACTGCCACACCCTCAAAGATGGTATACCCACAGCCACAAGATGGCGGTGCCCAGTCCCCTGAGCCCTTCAGGGGCACCTGCCTTCAGAGTTCCCAAGTCCTCTCAGCCCCCCAGCTGCCCAGGGCCATCCCAAGGCACAGGCAAACCTTGGATGGCAGCTGCCCAGCCACCCAGCAGCACCGAGGCTCAGGTAACCAGGGCCGGCTGAGGCTTGCACTGCCAGCAGTGGCAGCAGCAGAGGTGTGATGGGGCGTTGCCTTCCCCTGATTGCCAGGTCGCCTCTCACCCCTGAGGGCTCCCAGACTGTGAGAGGGGGCAGGCCAGTCTGAGGGACCCCCCCTCCAGTGCATTGTGTGTGTGTTACTGCGCCTCTAGTTTATTCATATTATTGATGTTTAGTATGTGGCAGACACTTTATGTCCATGATGAGAAACAGTGTTTTAAAAATGTGGGTGAATCTTTGGCCAGGTATCTCAGTTGCTTTTAGCATTGTCCCTGATATGCCAAAGATGTGGATTTGATGCCTGGTCAGATTCACACAATGAATGCTTAAATAAGTGAAACAATATAACAGTGTTTCTCTCTCTGTATCTGTTTCTCTATCTTTAATCAATTTTTATGAAGTTTAAAAATAAAAATGTGGATGGGTTTTAAAATAAGCATGCAGACCACAAAGAAGTTTTCCAGGTAAAAGGACAGAAGGGTGATATTTGGCAGTGGGAACATCTATCGAGATTACATGTTTGGTCACAGGAACAGCAGGGCAAGGGCTAAGATGTACACGTGAACTTTGTGGGAATTATGAGCAGTAGAGTTTCAAAGGTGCAAAATGTGTGCTACGGGAATGGTGGGGAATGAGGTGAGGGCCTAGCTAAGGCAGGCTTATGAAAATCTTTAGTACTACAGAAAGGGCTAGATCTTATCTTCTGGGTCTTGGGAAATTTATCATCCAAAATGCTTTTAGTTTCAGACACTAGGTGCCCCAATTATCAGAGACCAAAATAATAGGAAGCAGGTAATTTGTTGATGATATCAGGATTCCAGTTGTTATACCTTATTCAGCTGTGAGGTTCTCAGTGCTTATGGTATGTCTGCTTCCTGGTCAATAATTAGCAATTGCTCCAACACATCCTATTCTCACATGCCAACATGTGAAGGCCAAAAGGACTGCTTTTCCTTAGATGTTTCTTTTTCCTTTTATAACATTTTGTTAAAGTAGAGTTGGCACACATTATATTATTTTCACAGTGGTTTGACATTTATATACCTTATGATGTGTTCACAATGATATGCCTAGTAAGTATCTATCACCAAGCAAAGTTTTTAAGATATTGACACATTCCTTTTAATGCCAACTACGTCTTATGGCTTATATGTTTTATAATGGGAAGTTTGTACTTCTCATTCATATTCTTTTATTTCACCTATCTCTTCAGCTAACTTTGCTCTGGCAACCGTCAATTTGTTCTTTGTAGCTATGTGGTCTGTTCTGTTTTGTTTTTTAGATGGCATCTTTAAATAAAATCACATGGTATTTAATTTTCTCTGTCTAATTTCACTTAGTATAAGACCCTCTTGGTCAATCCATGGTTCCATAAATGGCAAGAATTTGTTGACTTTATGTCGAGTAATTTTTCATTGTGTGTGTGTGTGTGTGTGTGTGTGTGTGTGTGTGTGTTTATACATTCTACATCTTCATTCTTTACTTTTCCATTGAAGGACTTCTACATATCTTCACTATTGTAAATAATGCTGTAGTAAACATAGGGGTGCAGATATCTTTTCAAATTCTTGTTCATGTTTCTGTTGGATAAAAACCCAGAAGTGGAATGGCCATTCTATTTCTAATTTTTTGAGGAATGTCCCACAGTGATTGTACCAATTTACTAGTACAATCAAATGAATAGTGCATGAGGCTTCCTCTTTTCTCCACATCCTCGCCAACACTTGTTAGTTATATTTTTACTAGTGGCCCAGTGCACAAAATTCATGCACATTAAAAAGGCATTAATTAGAGGAAATATTTTAATATTGCTATTTGTCCTTTCTCTATAATAGAATTGTCAGAGATGAAAGAAAATTAGTAAAATATATATAAAAATATCTCTCCTGTCAGAGTCTGGGGCACACCATGGGGCCCAGAGTCATGTCCCCTCCCACCCGTGTGTGCCTCGAAAGCATGCCAGACTGAGACTTGGCTGGCCCCACCCTCATTGGTTAGACCCAGACCTGGCCAGTCCCACCCATGTCAAGCCCCACTGTGCAGGGGGCGTGGCCTCAGGTCCCACATCAAGTCCTGTCAGGGTGGGGGACGCAGCCTCAGGTCCCCCATCAAGCCCTGCTGGGGTGGGGGACGCAGCCTCAGGTCCCCTGTCAAAGCCCTCTGGGGAAGGGGGCGCAGTCTCAGGTCCCCCAGCCTGGCACGAGGGTGGCCCAGCACCAGGGCAGCTCAGTGCCATGCAGCCTCAAGTCCCTGCTGATCAGTTATTATGGAGTCATGGCGTGACAACCATTTGCATATTTGCCTTTTATTATGATGATGACAGCCATTCTGAGAGGAGTGATGTACTTCCTTATGGATTTCATTCGCATTTTCCTAGTTAGTGATGTTGAACTATGTGTTTACTTAAATT